TCCAGTGCGGGATTCTCTTTGGATATCCCTTTGATCATGCTTGTAGCATCATTTCTGAGGTACGCTGTCCTGTAATGAGCGTTGGAAGACTGATGCTAATCCTCATCGTAGAGTTTTTTATTATCCTGGAGCCCATTTCGACACCTCCTTACTGATACAGTCATTCATTATGATTGCGATGCAAACCATGTTATTGAAGGTTGCGCTCGATCATCGGCCATCACCATCGTCGAAAGGGGGAGATGCGGCTATACCATTTGCTGGGCACAGAGAAGGGGATGGAGCGTCAAGACCATACAACTTCTGGCAATGGCGTTCCCCAAAACCGTACGCATTGATTCACTGTGTTGCTTGCCAAAGAGTTACATGATGCTAACGAAGAATTCACAGTTACTGGCAATTCCTCCTTTACCTATTCATAGCTCTCATCGCATGCGAACTCATTCTCTCTCCAGCTCCATGGTTCTATTCCGTCTACTCTGACGCGATCGGCTACATTGGACTCGGTGTAGAAGCAACCCTCCCAATTCCTCAAATCATTGCAAACTACAAATCTCGATCCTGCAGAGGTTTCCGTTTTTCAGTCATGGCCAGCTGGATTGCCGGTGATGTGATGAAGATGTTCTGGTTTTTTACTGCCACAAGTGCTATACCCTGGGCTTTCAAACTTTGCGGAATGTTCCAAATGTGCTGCGATTTATTCTTGGGGTTGCAATTTTGGATGTATGGAGATGGTGATGGAAAGAAGAAGGATGACGACTTTAGAGCACCAATTGGGGAGAAAGATGCTCGGTTATCATGAGATGAGGGAGCCGAGAATTGGAAGTAGGGGGAGAGCCGAACAAAATTTATAGATATCTGTTCATGAACAAGCGAGACGAGCGAACGAACGAAACTAGACATGAAAATGACGGGAAATGTTAGTTAGAATACATAATGAAGTTGGAGGATTTTTAAACTTATTAGAAAAATATTAATGGTACATAGAAATTTAATCATGCCCCTTTGTTGATGGGCATTTTCTCCTGAGATTAATGCGGTCCCCTCATGCAATCAAAAGAGCTTCATTTCGGACTCGGCATGGTGAGTAGTTTCCATATTGGTGACACCATTGACTTCCCTGTCAGCGTGTATCTAAAGAACTCTGTCAAGTGAGGGGAATCATCAAGCACCTAGGTAAATTGTCATCCTAGATTTCACTATTCGGCTTGGCACAAATGCTTCGTTTCATTTCTTGGGAGCTAGACGTCGCGCATTTAGCTAGTGCTCAAATTATTTCGTTGAATATACGTTCTAGTTCCATCTCACTTACTGGAGTTTTTTTCTTGAAATTAAATGAAAATAGATGAAGAAATTGTTATCATCAGGTTCATATTCGAAACTATGTTCACTAGGTTGCTGGTTGTTGTAATTTTGAGAAACCAGATGAGTATTCTACCATATAAGTTCATCAAATGTTTAAATGATCCGATCTTTGCATTTTTGATAGTTGAATTATTTTCGATGTAGTTTGGTAACAATTTTCATTTATTAGATGAATGGTTCGAAAGATCCATAACCAAGCCAAGCAATGAACACTCTATGTTGGTCAATTCTCTAATTCTCTTGATTTCATTACAGGATGGCATGTCCCTTGACAGTTTCATAGCCAAGCCTGGAAAAAGCTGGCTTCAGTCCAAGTATTCATCACTAGATTTTGTCCAAACAAGTTTCATTTTATATCCCAATTAGTGTTTGAGTAATTCATAAAGAAGAGTTAAGAGATCCACTTCAAAAAGTACGGTCTTCTTTCCCTCGACTCGTTTACAGAGATAACGAGTAGCGTATTGCTATATTAATGGCTTGAAGCAAGGGGCTTGGTACTTGAAGTTGTTTGGAATCAAGTCGTCTTGCTTATCTTCTCGCAAACCATATAGCCACCAGATCCTGCACTCTCTATTCTCTCAACTATCCATTCATTCACCCATGGCTCTCCCTCAAATATCTGGTTTCTATCACTATCACCTTCACTTCCATCCTCATGTTCCGTCTCGTGGGTTCAGTTACACAGCATTATATTGCACACACGGAATATTTGACAGCATCTCTTAAGCCCGCCCATACAGCTCGAGTCTGCATACCACCCTGCAATCATCTTTTCGAATCATTTATGTCATTAGCCACGCTCTCTATTTCTACACATATATGAACGTCGGGGTTTTCTACAAACTATCTATCGTATGTACGTCAAATTTACTTTCTACTAGCTAGCATTCACGAAATATCCTTAACCGTAATATGAATAGCAAAAAAGTCTCATTTTTAGTCCGTAACTAAGCGACGTACAAGATGATAGGCCATTTCTCGTTAAACATTTTAGTGAATGTATATTTACCACTTATTTTCTTCTGAGCGATGAGACACTGACCTCCTATTCACATGTCGCGTGGGTACCTATTATCTAGGTATGGAAAGGTCCAAAATAGAGAACGACATGAGAAAAGAAGAGCTGTCGGTTACATTTCGAATTTCGAATCGTCGAATGACTTCCAACAAGCAAGTGCACGAACCCCTCAGGATATACGTAAGGTTAAGCAAACCTAAACCATCCAATTGGCTATCTCAATTTCCCAAAGTATAAACGCGTCCATACCCCTCAAAACCCAACCAATCCAGCAACATAAATATTCTCTCAATGTAACACATTCAATTCTCTACAGCCTGAAACTCTCCCATTCAATTGGCCACAAAGCTTCCCGCCAATAAACCCCCAAGCCTCGTCTGTGCGAGCTCAAATGAGGGGTAAATTTAGCGGGAATGTAACAAAGGAGGGGTAAGCAACATCGAACCATAAAATTCAATAATGTTGCTGAAGCTCTCTACGCAATTGAAATCTCTCTTACTTTTATTTATCGCAACTCCAAAGTATTAAACAATCTCCATTGTGAAAACATATCAATTGAACCAGTGCAAAAAAAAAATGAGAGGCGTAGTAATCAAGGCCCGTAATTCCCCCTGGGAAGTCTCTAATGATCTCGAGAGGCCTGTTCCGGGAAAACATCAGGTTTTGGTCAAATCGCTGGTTACAGGAATTAATCCTTTGTGAGTCCTCTATTTCTCAGATTCCACATACACACATTATCTCTCACACTCTCTCATACTCTCTCACTCCCCCTTTTTCGTAAACGACCCATCTTACCAGCTTCCCTCACGAGCACACCACTAAGCCAAAAATAAAGGGACAACATAATGCGTCAAACCGGTTCCCTCATCCCTTCCTACCCAATAGTACTCGGCTGTGACGCCTCAGGAGTGGTTGTTGAATTAGGCCCTGGCGTTGAGAAATTCAGAGTTGGAGATGGCATTTTTGGATGTGCGACAAGAGTTGGAGAGGAGGGTTATGGTACTTTTCAGGAGTTTGTATGTTTGAGGTTCTTTATCCATTCGGACCGGACAATTTGAATGGTGGGTGAGGTGTATAGTCTGAGAAATGAGATTGAGTGGGAATGAGGAATGGAGAATGGCGGAATGAGATAAGATAGAAGCTAACTCTTAACTTTTACAATAGCATTTAATGGATGAGAAACTGGCATTCAAGAGACCAGAAAGAGTTTCGGTTGAAGAAGCTGCGACGATTGGAGTGGGACTTTTGGTGAGCAAACCTTTCCTTCTTGCTAGTTGTCATGTTATGGTGTTTGTGAATGAGCAATACTGACTGCGATAACCATAGACGGCAGCAATATGTCTAGATGAGGGAAACAATATCATGTATCCTACCACTCGCGAGAATCAACCAGAATGGTTTATTGTTTTGGGAGGTACGTCGAACGTTGGCCAATATGGAATTAAGGTCAGTGTGTCTATGATTTCCCCTGAATATATTGGCGTTGACAGACATCTAGCTTGCAAAATTGTGCGGATACCAAGTCCTTGCTTCATGCTCGCAATCTAATGCTGAGGTGAGTTTCGCAAAAGAGAACGAAGTTGAAATGAGATTTGTGAAGTAGCTAATCTAACCCACTACAGCTTGTCACATCTATCGGTGCAGATGCAACATTTGATTACAAACAATCTACCGAAACACAATTGTCTGATATCGAAAAAATTACATCGGGAGAGTTCGCGGGTATATTCGATGCATCGGCTGCTAGTTCCGCAGTAGGCTTAGCTGCTTTGAATACCAAATCCACAGCCAAAACACAAAAAACATTCTCGACTACGAATGATTGGTATGTAAAAACTTCCAATCTCTTCACGTCCCGGAAAAAATTACAACTAAATAATAAATAGGGACGAAATCGACGAGCAAAAGGACATCACAGTTTATCACGTCCACCTTGGACAAATGGGCAATTTCGGAGAGCCATTAGGCGACGCAACCAACAGCATTGTAGAGAAACTTATTCCAAGACTTGAAAGCTTGCTTTGGAAAGGACTACTAGAGCCAAATGAAGGAGAAGTAGTTGCAACTGGATTTGGAGGCGTAAGTTTTGGTGTTGATCTTTCGACGAAAAATGAGATTGGAGGGAAGAAGATATTGGTTAAGCTGCAGGATTCTTAATGCGGAGGCATATTCATCAATATGGTAATCATATGATGCCACTTATTGGTCTTTATTCAGAACCCTTTCGGTAGTGAAGACTTAGTTTATCTGATATGAGTTCTTGAATGATCAGAGTGCAGCCATGTGACGGGAATAGTAAGCGTGAGTGTAACGGGATGTATTTCAAAATCCATTTTGGGAACTTCTGGTTCAGCTATTTGTTGAATGATATGTGTGTAACTCGAACATCTCTTTGAAAAGTCCGGCCTTCCAATCAGAATTAGATGTTGAGCTTACTGCTGTCCAGACTGGGTCACAGCAAGGGACGGCATGTATGTAGGCCTGACTTGGCAATGTAACTCTCGGATGAAGATCTCTTGCAGCCCTTCAGCATTTAAGTAAGTCATTTACCTACCCGCTCGTTACTTGGTACAAGTAGTGAAAGTTTGTACTGTCTTCGCCTTTATACTGCTTCATCATGCGGTCGCTTTCAATCCTCACAATATTATCTTCGCTCACAATTGCGTCTCATGGAGCTTCTCTTAGCGGGAAGATAGTCGGTCGTGATACCACACTGTTGTCTAGTTATGACTTTATTGTTGTGGGTGGTGGAACAAGTGGACTTGTCGTGGGAAATAGATTATCAGAGAATCCAGGTTAAGATTCACTCATTTTGATGCTCTGGATCAAAAGCTTACCGTCATTAGCGACAACTGTTCTCATTATTGAGGCTGGTGAACTGTGAGTGTATGATTGCAGTCTGACGTAACCATCTGATGGCATATAGTGATCAGGGAGAAGACTTCATATACATTCCACTTTACGCAGGAATTGGGAATGGTGCGATAGGAACACAGTATGACTGGAATTTAACTTATGCTCCCCAGTCAGCTACAAACAACAGATCAATTGCCATACCACTCGGTAAAGTTGTAGGCGGTGGCTCTTGTTTGAACAAGATGACTTTCGATCTTGCTGGAAAAGAAGACTATGATCGTTGGACAGAAGTAGGAGCAGTTGGTTGGAATGAACTCTTTCCATATTTCAAGAAAGTAAGCACATTATGTGGAACACATTGAATAAACCATGAACTAAATCTTCTGTCCATCAGTTAACTAATTTTACACCACCTGCACCTGAAATTGCAGAAGAATGGGATATTCAAACGGATCCTTCAGCACATGGATACAAAGGCCATGTAATAAAATCTGTGCTGAGAATCGACGTACTTGCTGACCGTGTCTAAAGGTCCATTCAAGTTATCCAACATTTAATTGGCCATCATCCAGTTGAGTAAATTGTCCTAATCAAACTACTTCCGCTGACAGGTTAGTAGAGTACTTTTTTGCGTCCATGAAATACCTCGGAATACGTAAGGTGTTCGACTCTTTGAATGGGGATGCAAATGGTGCCCTGTGGAATCCACAATCACTAGATCCAGACACTAAGACCCGCTCAAATTCTAGAACCGCTTATTGGAATAGTGCAAGTAATCGAACCAATTTGCACCTCTTAACGGGCCAACAGGTGACGAAACTGATGACTAAAATAAATGATGAAGGGGTTGCAATCATTGGTGTAGAGGTAAATATTCGACCACCGCATTCTTTGGGTAACATTCTGACCACGAGAATAGTATGCAGCTGGCTCCAATTTTTCAGGATCAACCGTGCTTGCGGCGAAGGAGGTAGTTCTCGCAGCTGGTGCTATTCATTCACCTCAGCTGCTCCAACTCTCTGGAATTGGAAGCTCTTCTTTACTTAAACAATTCAGTATCGAAACTGTGGTGAGCTTGCCAGGAGTTGGGGCGAATTTCCAAGATCACCCATTGCTCAGAGCTAGTACCACTTGTAGGTTGCTATAGCAAAAATCTATAAAATCATCCACTAACTGGATCAATAGTGGACATTTACCTTTCCGCGAACAATTTGACCAGTAATGCGACTTTCAATGCTGAGATGCTAGCATTGTATAGGCATAACAGAACTGGTCCGTAAAGTGTATTAAAGTTCCCAGGTCAATCTAATCGGGCAAAATAGGTCCATACTCCACAGAAGGGGGAGGTGCATATGCATTTATTGGAACCCGTTCTTTCACCAATGCAACCTCACAGATTGTATCCTCCGCCTCATCTATCACACCGGCATCATATTTACCATCCGATGTCGACTCGACTATCTTAGCAGGATATGAAGCCCAATACAAGATCCTCACTCGAGATCTCGCATCCAACAAAATGCCAATAATGGAATTCATTTTCGGAGGGGGACCAGTTTTTACTGGTCTTCAGCATCCATTTTCCCGTGGCTCGGTCGCGATCACATCCGCCGATCCTTTCACTTCCCCATCAGCAAAGCCAGGATTTCTTACTCATCAGACAGATCTTCTTCTATTAAGCGCCGCAGCTAAATATGCTCGTAAAATAATAAACACACCAATATTCGCACCACTATCGCCGGTTGAGACAGTACCAGGCCCGAGAGTACAAACAGATGCGGATTTTGAGGCATGGGTTCGTTCGACTATTGGAACGACATTTCATCCAAGTGGCACTACCTCTATGATGAAGAGACAATATGGAGGAGTTGTGGATTCCAATTACAAGGTATATGGGGTCAATAACTTGAGAGTAGTTGATGCGGGTACGTTTCCAATGATACAGAGTGCGCATTTACAAGTGACTGTGTATGCCATGGCTGAGAGAGCTTCCGATGCAATTAAGAAGTCATGGAGGCTTTGAGGGAGATGCTATGATGGAATGATGTGCTGAGTACCATAGGAGCGCATAGAAGGGATAACTTTGGTCATTCCAATCTTGCTGCTCTTCTTGCCGCTGAAGTGTTAAAAAAGCAAAGTATGATGGCATATATTGCCACCCCCATAAATTGGTTTCGTGTTACCCAGTAGAAACTTGAAAATATAGATCATTGTCTACAGATTTAGTAAAGATTCGATAGTCTCATCCAATTGTACCGATTAGGCTTTATCGAACAGATCTTCGCTTTTATGTAGTGTTCTTGAGTTTGACAATTGTTAATTTGAGGTGTGGTTGCCAAAAAAAAACACGCTAGCATATTCTCCGACACAGGCAGGTACGTGCCTATAAGCGAACCAAAGCCGGGCTGTCCATTCCTTCCATCCAACTCTCCAATTACATTCCACATCGATTTCGGCATTTTGTATTTCTCCGTTGTTGATCTACATGCAGGGCAGGTTTGAGAATGAAGTGTTTGCTAAAGTTTACTTGATTATAACATTAATATTACCTTTTCTTCGATGAAGGCCAATAGACCCCCGGGATTGAAAATATGACATCCAGACAATCCGAACCCTGGTAACGGCATTCTTATATTCAGCATTCTACTAACCGTCAGGTCTACAGACGAGAACTCTTCATATATCGATCCAGGTGTATTGGTACATTACCAGAAAATCGCGGCGCAGGTTGCTTCCTCGTGTAAACGCAGTGTTGACGTTGCTCGTACGCATGCCTATGGGGGCTGGATCCATCCGGACTTTGCTAGACCTGTCATGTCTACCAGGCGAGAGTCGTTTGATCAGTGACAGATCGACTGCCTCTTGATAGATTGTAAGGGGACTTTGGGAAATTCCATCCAACGATTTTTCAGCTGAGCTGTCATGCAGCAGCCAAGAATATACTTTCCCTGGGTAACGTTCCACTCGAACCAATCATACGGATAAGCCCAAAAGCTTCTTGAGCCCTATATCATGCCATGTCAATGAATGTATAGTTATGGACACATCCCAGCTGCAGGGTCTACACCGTAACGTCTCACATCAGCCGAAAGTTACACATGAAACAGAAAGAGTACCGGTCAAAACACAGGATACACTCCAGGCTTTCTTGACAAATATATAACACACAACTCCACAATTTGATGAACATTATTAAAGACTGATCACGATCAAATTCACTCACAGCATTGTCGCCGATATTAACGGTGAACATTCACCAATCCTATGAGTTATCGCCTCAGGGCTACCCCACCAAAATCACTCCACCCGCCCCAAACCACCCCACTATAGCTACGAATACCCTCGTATCTAGATACATAAACAAAGCTCTTCCTCAAACATCTTTCAAATCAACATTTCTTCCAAAACATCTCTCAACATGTCTCATTTTTTCCATGAAGCCAAGGCAGCCATCGGCGACTTTGTACACGAAGTCGAGTCAGAGGTGTCGAAGGTTGCAGGAATCTCAGACGGCGAGAAACACAGCCACACTCATATCGGAGAGGCATGCCATGCACTTCATATAAATGGAAATGAGAACAGATTTGGCAGTTTCGCTCCTCCAAGAACTGGCCATGATATTAAATGGCATATCGACGGGTGTGCGTACATGTGGGCTGTATCTGTCGCCTTGGAAGAGGCACAGGAAAGTATCTGGATTCTGGATTGGTGGCTTACCCCTGAGCTTTATTTGAGAAGACCCCCATCGGCAAACGAGGAATATAGAATCGACCGCATGCTTTTAGCTGCTGCTGAGAGAGGTGTCAAAGTGAACATTATCATTTACAAGGAGGTTACTAAGGTCTTGACATGTATGTTTTATACTCATTTCTGGCCACATATCACGTGGACTAACCCCGATGTCCAGTATGCTCTGAGCACACCAAGAAGGCTCTAGAGGTTCATCCTAACATTTCGGTATTCCGACATCCGGATCATGTTCCAAGTGGTATTCACGTCGAATCGGAACTTATTACCGACTTGAAGAATTTCAGTTTGAGAGACTTTGATCTTGCACAACTTCCTAAAGAGGGTATTGAAGCGTTATATGGAGCCCGAAATGATGTTATTCTTTACTGGGCACATCACGAAAAGCTTTGCTTAGTTGATAGCAAAGTTGCTTTCATGGGTGGTCTGGACTTGTGTTTTGGTAGATGGGATGTGAATCAGCATCCAATTGCTGATGCACACCCAAGTGACCTGGACAATATTGTTTTCCCAGGTCAAGATTTCAATAACGCAAGGGTGTATGACTTCCAGGATGTAGCAAATTGGCAAGACAACAAGCTTGATCGTACTAAGTACTCTAGAATGGGATGGTCGGTATGTATTTCGTCAATCCCCAACGAATTGTCGGACAACGAAATCTAATTGTTGTAGGATCTATCAATGTCGTTAACAGGACCAGTTGGTAAGTTAATTAGAGATGCTACCACTATTGCACTCTCAGGTTTTAATGACTAACACTTCGTAGTCGAGGACCTTCGAGCTCATTTTGTCCAGAGATGGAATTTCATTTTCCGAGAGAAATACGACACTCAAGATACAAGATACACAGCATTGTCCTTGATTCCTAATGATATCCCTGATGGATATTATAACGAAGATGGTACAAATATCGGTGCATCTACCGAGGGTGCGATCTCCGATACATTCCGTAGAGCGGGTACATTTTTGGGCAGATCGGGAGGTAATTCAGGGTATGGGGATGATCAAAACGGCGTTTCTATCCAACTTGTAAGAAGTTGTACTGAGTGGAGCAATGGTGTCGCCACTGAGGTAATTATATCGTTCCAAAAACTATGCCGCAGATACTAATCTGGATAGCACTCCATTGCCAATGCCTACATTGAGGTTATTCAACGAAGCCAACATTTCATCTACATCGAAAACCAGTTTTTCATCACCGCCTGTTCCGATGAGCAACATCCTGTTGAAAATAAAATCGGAGCGGCGATCGCAGACAGAATCATTCGTGCTTATCAAAATGGCGAACAATACAAAGTTATTGTTTGTATGCCAGCAGTCCCAGCTTTTGCAGGCGATCTCCATGGAGATGATGCTTTGGGAACTCGTGCAATTATGGAGTATCAATATAATTCAATCTGTCGTGGCGGTAACTCAATTATGGAAACAGTTGCTAAAGCCGGAGTACCCGATCCAAAGGATTACATCCGATTCTACAATTTAAGAAACTATGATAGACTTAACGACAACGGCACGATGGCTCGAACCGAACAAGAAAGTGGCGTCAGTTATGAAAGTGCTAGAAAAGAGCACGATGATATAGTTGGTGCTGGATATGGCGGTTACGGTGAAGAAACTGGTGCTCGCAGAGGCCAAGAAAATTACGAGTATGACCAATACCAAAGAGCCGCCCCTCGTTCCCAAGAACACGACACAGTAGCAGCATGCTATTTGGAAGATGGTCCATCCATCACATCCATTCCTTGGAATGGTACCCCTGAAGCCGAGCTCGATGCCTTCGTCAGCGAGGAACTTTACATCCATACCAAACTTCTTATCGCCGATGATCGCGTTGTAATTTGTGGTTCAGCTAACCTCAACGATCGCTCTCAACTCGGTACCCACGATTCCGAAATCGCGATTGTAATCGAAGACACCGAAACCGTTGATTCATACATGAACGGTCGCGAATTCCAAGCCGCAAAATACGCCACTTCGCTCCGCAGACAACTCTTCCGAAAGCACCTCGGCATGATCGCACTACAAGATTGGACCAGACCGGATGCAAATTATATGCCCATCAACAAAGACCCCAACGATTACGACTGGGGGTCCGACTACGATATCGCTGTTCAAGATGTGTTTTCCCCCGAATTCACAGATTTATGGAATGGTCGTGCAAGAACTAACACAGAAGTTTATTCAAAAGTTTTCCATGCCATTCCGGCGGATAATGTGAGGAACTGGGATGATTACCATGAGTTTTATGAACAGTATTTTGTATCACCTAGTGATAAAGATACAGATGAAGAAGATAAGGAGCCTGCAAGATATCTCTATGGGCATGTGGTGAAAGAAGAATTCCCAGGTGGCGTGGAGGAGGTTAAAGAGGAGTTGAGCAGGGTTAAGGGTATGCTTGTTGAGATGCCGCTATCGTTTATGGATGGGGTTGATTTCGCCAAGGAGGGGTTGAGTTTCAATGCTTTGACCGAGACGATTTATACTTAGAAGGAAAGTTTGGATGGATATCGGAATTGGAAACTTGAGTCCTACTTGGGTTGATTATTGACAATGGTTTTGAAAGCTTTTGAAATCTTTCTAAATTTAGATTTGTCTTAAATATACAATTAGATACAACAATCAGAGAAGCCTGCTTGGTTACTAGTTACAAAGATGACTCGTGGTTGATCTATGTTTCTATTTTTTCTCCACCTTACTCAATTCCATTCCAAGGCTACACACAAACGGCCATGACTGATAGTCAACCCCCCGAAAAAGATGTCAGAAGCACCTATACCTGAGATAGCTCGTCCAATTATCATAACTTTGGAGCTGGTTGCCGTTGCACAGATCGTAGAGCCTGCCTCAAAGGTCACAAGAGCTGAAATAAATAACCACTTTACATTAAACTGAGTATAAAATCTTCCATACGTGAATTGGAAGAATATTATGCTAAAAGGTAAACCGAACCATACCAGCCAATTTCGTTGAGGCCATGGAACTGAGTGACTATCTTGGGAGTCGCTGTCCCTAAGTTTTGATGAAAATAAACATTAGCAATGATAGTGTAATTGGAAGTATAGGGTGACCTATGATGTTGGTATCCAAAGCGATCATGAATGTGGAAATCATGAGTGCAAATGTTAACGGAACAAGGATAAGTCGGCTGGGACGTTGAGCATAATCTTCGTGATCGTCTAGTAGGAATAGCCTAGGCTGTTCTGTTGGTTGGTCTGATAATAATCTTTGAGAAGCTTCTTTTTCATTTGTGTTGTTGTTGCGTTCAGGTGAAGAAATATCACACTTCAATTCCGAATCACGTCTATCTTCCATCACAAGAATAATCGATACAAGGCTTGTTGTCTCTATAGCAACTGAAAGAGAATAACGGCAAGAGCTACTGTCCAGGAATTAAGCGATAGCTAGGAAATATGGGCGCCTTACCAACCAGCCAAGTTTGAACACTTGGTGTAACGTGAATATGTGGCGTAGCAACCAGCGTACATAAAGTCCTCAAATCAGGAATTGTTATCTTTTCTGAAAAATAAAAAACAATAACAGCGTTACGGCTGGATGTAGGTCATCATTTCTAGACTCACGATATCTCGTTAGTGGATCTAAGTGAGCCCCGTAGGCACTTTAGTAGCGTTGCATCCAGGTGATATCATGCAGATGAGTTGCAAAGCCATTTAGGGCGAGGCAGGATGATAATAGTATGGATTTGGTTGATGAAAGATCCAATCTAATGTCGGCACCCCATACTAAGCAGCGTTATACCAGGCAGTACTCGTATCGTCCTGCTTGCACACTTATTTGCTCAATAAAATGCCTATGCGCTGTATACATTCTACGTGTGAAGTAGAAGTTCAAACGACGCACTTTCGAATAGTTTTGGCATACATTTGCTGCTAAATGCTGATCAGAATCTCTCTCGATATCGTTTGAAGCACTCATACTGGCCGGGATCTTGATCACAAAAATATATATTATTCTCAAAAAAAGTATACTACCCTCATCCACGTTCTCCCTACACTCACTCGCGGAGCCAGCAGGGGTTTGGCATCATTGGCTGTTCAAGCGAGCTTACCCATACCTTTACACACCAGCCTCCCCTCTTCAAAATCTCCGATTCTCCATCTCAACGACGAGCGCAGAGCCCTGAAAGCAGCATCCGATGGCAACATGGCTTTAGTTAATACTCCTTGCAGGCAGTGCCAGAACTTCACTGTTGACCGTGGCTTACCTGGCCGTAGTGAGGAAGATTGGGTGTATCAGATTGAAGTGCCATACCGTCGAAAAGATACAACGCCTGACTTCCCAGGTCTTTTGGCCTCGTTTAATGATGGTTGCAACCTCTGCGGAGTGTTGAGAGATGTTCTCTTGCGCAAGTTCGCTGAAAGCCGTTCTTCAAAGAACGGAGGTAGATATCTACATTAATCTTACCTGTGTGGAAATTGCTCACCGTACTGATTCTCCTCAGAGGTCAATATTTCCGCAAATTATGGATGTCAGTTGGAACTGCCAATTTGCAAAAATCTGATATTTGAAGTGGATGGAGCTTGGGAATCTGAGGCAGGTTTTATCTTGTACGCAGAATATGGTAAGATTCAATCCTGTGGGCGACTAGATTGCTAACTCACCTAGGCGACGGTAGAAACACCGCGTCGAAATACTTCCTGGTTCGCCCTGGATCACGGGCATGGAATTATGAAGCTATCAGCATTGCACAGATGTGGTTGAAAATGTGCGATAAGCATGATACTTGTCGAGATACGACGCGCAGTATCCTACCCACAAGGGTTATCGATGTCAAAAGCTCGCCTCCTAAGCTTGTCATGGGTAATGGTATCATCGATAAATATGTGACCCTGAGCCACTGTTGGGGAATATCCAAAGAACACCCATTTGAAGCTCAATATACGAGTCAAACATCAAATCTGTCGTCTCGGATGGAAGGAATGCCCTTGGAAGATTTGCCCGCTACTTTCAGGGACGCTGTCATTGCTACTCGTGACCTGGGATTTCAGTATCTGTGGATCGATTCTATTTGCATTCTACAAGACTCCATTCCCGATAAATCCGTAGAAATCGCGCGTATGGGCGATGTTTACGGTTATGCGGCCTTATGCATCTGCGCCACATCTGGTATCAATAGTAAATCCGGCTTCCTGCCCCCTTATCCATCACTGCAGCCATCGGTCGAACTGCCTTTATACCCGATGGATAACGAACCAGGGTCCTACATTATGTTCAGTCAAGATCTGTACGGGTTGCAGAACGAATTCCCTATTGATTGGACGTGGGACATTCATCAAAGGAGTATCTGGAATACCAGGGCGTGGACTTTACAAGAACGCGTTCTTTCCCCCCGTGTTCTACATTTTACCTGTGGTAGGATGTATTTCGAATGTGCAAAAGGATTTTTTATGGAGACAAGCCCTGAGCAAGAACTTACAGAGAATGATCTCGCAGGCTTACGAGTAGAAGCTGGCTTCATAAAAGCCCGACGGCTTGGACATCTGACTGTACTCAATTCTAATGATCTTAGTTTCGACGCACTTGTACGGCTTTATTACAATCTAGTGGATCAGTACTGTCAACGCAACCTATCATACTCTTCAGACAAAGTAGCTGCTTTCGCGGCTTGCTCTGCTTTGTTTCAGAAACGCCTAAAATTTGATACGAATACTTTTGGCACGTTTCTCGAGGACCTTCCTAGATGGTAAGTGATATTTGCACTGAACTTTCCTTCTCAAGGCGATACTCCAAATCTGAATCAAGTGCCACAAATTTCTTTTGTCCCTTATCTTTATTCCGGATTATGTAGGCCGACTTCTGACTCTCCGGCGCCTTCTATCTCCCTCAAAGCTAATATGAAGTATAGCCTGATGTGGATCCCTCTCGGAGACTCATCACTAGACTCAAGCTGGCCCTCTTGGACATGGTGTTCTCACCAACACCTCTCATTCTACCAGGGGATTTTCCACATGGAAGACTCCGAAGTGCTGAACACAGACCAAGAGCTTTCCCACCAATCTAACCACGAGTACGTACCTGCAACCGACTCTCAACTCCCAATACTCCGCCTTCATGCATTTTCGAAAGGCCCCGGTAAGCTCATAAGGAAGAAATCGTACCCCATGAGCGTCAAATTTTCGGTTAGGGACCATGAGTATGATCTAGAACATGTCGATATAACAAACAGCTGTGCTACCGGTAGAGAAGACCTCTGGCTTTTGAACTTTTGCAAACTCGGTGCCAAGGCCAACCCAATCTCCGGCTTAATTCTGCAGCCTGCTGTGGAGTCAGGTAGCAACCATTATCGTCGAGTAGGATTTTACAGATTGAAGACTGCTGAGGACTCGAGAAACCTATTTCAAACCGAAGCGCGACAATGGATAGATTTGGTCTGACCTCATTATTTAAACACTTCTAATCTCATTCATGGACGTGGATATACCCCTTTCGGATGTAATGTATTCACAATGATGGGTATATAATTGGTTCGTCTGGACTCTCAACTCAGACTGTCGATATATTTCTCTCTCTTCATTTTAATAGATTTTCAGTAGCAGAAACGTAAAGACTGTTGATGACCAAAGCAAATCCGTACAATGTATGAATGAGAAACAAAATTGGTTCAAAAATGAATTTGATTTGAGAGGCTGGAAAAGATTTACAGAGTAGAGAGTTCATGAGGAACCATGTAGTTGTCAAAATCATCATTTACCATACATAACATGATATCTAGAATATGAAGCTGGGTTAACACAACCCCAAAGCCCCCTCGCAACACCAAAAGATTTCATTACATCACTCCAGAGCACCCAACTCCCTCCCACATCCCCATCTCTAGTGGACATCAAATTTCATAAGGAAACTTACCACCCTGTGCAAACGAACCACTTACCTATGAAGTAAAAAATAGGAACCACAGCCAAAATTACCCCTGACAACATTGTAAAATTCCCTTCCAAACCATCGATCTATCTCACAGCTGAGTCTAAAACTCTCTTCCCAAAAAGCAATCCGCAAGTTTATAAATATATATATTCCGAGGCTATACGGCGGTAACATTCCTATCCCCAAAAAGCAAAGCAAAGCACATCAACATATACATACATGCAGTCTCTCTATACAAATCCTTTCCCTCCCATCTATCGCATCCATACACAACATAAATATTATATGAATATCATATAAATATCACAACAACCCCAATCTGGGAAAGCAAGAAGAAAAGCAAAAAAATCTGATCACTGGCGGTTTCGAACCGCCGACCTTGGCGTGCCAAACCCATTTGTTTCCGAAGAATCAGAAGCAAGAGAAGATATTAGCACCACGCTCTAACCAACTGAGCTAAGCGACCTGAGATGGTTTTTTGATATCTCTCCCAGATCTATCTTAGCAAATATTTATCTGTGCATCCCTACCAGCGTGCAAAACCTTCCACCCAAGTGGAGCAACCCCACATCCTCAATCCCAAAAACAAAAACCGGGATGTGCGGGTACTTTATTATTCATTATTCATTAGCGTACATTAGACACCTACAGAATGGATACCTCCCGGTACGCGGAGAAAAGTACGTGTGACAGCGGCATAGGGTGGGATGATGAGAATCACGAGATGAGATGAGGGGAGAAGACGCTAGGAATATTCTATTATGTACATACATATCATGGCGCAGGGATGAGAGGATCGGGAGATGGGGAGGGAGGGAGTGATCATGTGCTGTAGTATGGAGTATGGAGTATGGAGTATGGAGTATGGAGTACGGAGTACCTGGGTATGGATGATGTATCTGGTGGGTATGTTGTGTATGGGGTATGGCATGGTATAGTGCCGGAGGGAGGGAGGGAGGGAGGGAGGCAGAAAGATGATTCAGATAGAATCCTCATACTGATTGTACTTTACTTACCTGGTATCTGTGTTCTCATCTCAGTACTCTGTACTCCGTAGTGCGCACATGTAGGTATACAGGAATAAAATTGCTCAAAGTCGGTCAGATCTTCGAACAAGTTGATTTTGTGCTATTTTGTCTTTCATTCATTCTCTTTGTGATATCCTTTCTGCTTTCTCTCTCTCTCTCTCTCTCTCTCTCTCTCTCTCTCTCTCTCTTTCTCCAAGTCCGTAGAACTAGGAAGGGAGAATACAGCAGCTGCTATATTCATGCGAGGAGTTCCGTTCCAGCCTACTGAGATTCCGGTCCTCATCTCGTCTCATCGAGAGTGTATATCTTCTGCTTTTGATACTAGGAACTTCGTCGATATATCCTCACATCAATCTCATCTCAACATCACAAAATCAGTATTTGTTCACCGCATCAAAATCTCTCAAGAAACCATCCGTTTCAATGAATCAATCTCCATTCGTTTAAGTAATTTAATCATCACACCATAATTCTCATCACACCATTACCCGATAATATACAAAAAAGGCCGGTCATTCATATCCAGCTCGACCCCATCCATTCATTCAATCAAGTGAGAATGCCCCCCATCCCAAAATTCGTACTCCCAAAGTACATACGCGCCCAAGACACCTAACTGCCCATATCATATAACCGGAAATCGATATCATAAAAAAGCCTCCACCAATATGAAATTCCCTGTTGGGTATCATGCTTTTTTGCTCATTGCTTTTCGCTTTTCGCTTTTTGCTTTTCGATTGCTTTTCCCAAGAAAATAAAGAAGACCTCGCGACACAGTGCAAATGCTATAATATAGCCCCAAGATAACCAATTAATTTTGGTTATCCGCGCAAGACCAAGCACCGTGAGAAGTAGCAGTGTCCAAGTTCATAGAATAACCGCTAGCGTATAAACCCGCAAAACACATAATGCACGCCAAAATGATCAAGACAACATTAACGAAACTCAAGAAGATTTGCTTGGAGCCTTGCATGCATGATCCCCAGTTGATATAAAACCAGCAGATACCAGGGAGACCGTAAGAAAACCAAGACGCGAAAAGAGCAGAAATGAAACCGAGGAGATCGGAGAAGACGGGAATGGATTCGGCAATAATCCACGCGACAGTCCATGTTCCGAAAGCGAGAGCGACCCAAGTTCCGGTGGCGACCAATCCTCGGCTGTTCAAGTGTTTGGTTCCGGAGAAAAGTCGGACGTAGATGTATTTAACAGTGACGTGAGCGAAAATAACTCCTGCGATAATGATGGTTGGTAAAGCAATTCCCCATGCAACCTTGCGAACAATAGGACTGTTGCTGTTAAGAGCTGGACTTGCGACGTCTTCACCAGCATATCTGTAAATGACGAGAGCAGCGACGAAGTAAAGACTGATATCGACAGTTTGAAGAAGGATGAGAGACTTTGGAAATTCCTTTGGATCGCGGAGTTCAGCAATGAAGCTGACCCAGGCAACGTGACCACCGTATGCGAAAACGACGTTGGAAATACTGTTGAAAGCGGTTGGGAAAGATGGGCTGTAAGTTCCCTTCATGTCTGCAGCATCGGCTTTTGGAGAAACACCCAAGGCGACCATAGTGAGGACAACGGCGGAAAGAATACTGGTGAATGCTATTGCAATTGTTAGCGCATTCGGTAAAAGAAGACTTGGCAAAACTTACAAACAATGGACAAGAACGAGACATTTTTGAGAGTTCTGTTCAAGGAGAGGAAACTGAAAACAGCCAATCCAACGACACCCCAAATAATGGTACAGGTTGCATGGTTTGTGAGAACATTCATGGCAATGGTGAATGTCAAAAGATGCGATGCCATGCAGAATATGCAGTAAATGACGTAAGCAGCACCAAAGATCTCTCTGCCCCAGCTTCCCATCAAGATACCACCAATGTCTACATAAGTTGTAACCTAAAGAACCGGTTAGAAACTGAAAGTATTGTTCAATCACCATTCCGAGAGCTTAGCATACCTGAGGATATCGCATTTTGAATTGCCACAAGATGTAACCAGAATATGTAGTGAAAACACCAAGAGCAAGAATAGAGATGAGACCACCGATGAGGCCAACCTTGGCCAAGACAGCTGGTAGAGAAAGGATACCAAGTGAGATATTTTCAGCAATCATAACGATTGCTCCTTGCCACCAAGTCATGGTTTTGTCTAATGATACTGTCAGCTAATTCTTTCGCCAATCAAGGAGTAAAGAAGCTTACATTGAACCTCTGCGCCTTCCTCATTCCCAAAAGCATCGAGTACCTCTGCTACCTTCATATCGGAGGACTGATCGTCCGCCCTGATGTTACCACGAACATTGTTGGCGGCTGTGATATCGTCTTTGGTAGCTTTATTCGAAGTTGCCTTTTCGGGATCCATATTTGCAAATTTTTATGATTCTCCGCAAATTTTTGTCTTTGGTCTTTTCTCAACAGTCGAGAGATGTTGCTGTCGACTTCGGATGCTAATGATTGACGTTGGAACAAGAATAAAGGATTGAAGCTATCAGTTGAGGAAGGAGTAGCTGAGTGTTGAAAGAGAGTTGAAAGATGGCAAAATAACATCAAGATGTGGACACGAGACGAAAATATGTAGGGTTTCTGGACGGGGCTAGACACGCTCGACACCGAGATAAGCCAAAGATTGACAATCAATTTCTATTGAATTCAAGTAAGTTCAATGAGGGGAACGTCAGTGCGAATGGTAAGACCATGTTGGAAGGTGGTTCCTAAGACGTAAGTAAAATTCTTTTATATGGAGTTTCATCAGTGACAGTGGACCATTTGTTCCTGTGTGACTCCACTAAAAAGTAACTATTATGTTTTGGCGAGGCGACGTGAACAACGGTCTCCATGAAATCGCCATAATTTGACAATTTTCCAGTGTGATCTCGGTATCGACCATGTACGTTTTGACTAATTCAGGGTATTGAATCTGGGGTAGTGCGTGGTGTTGCATACCAAACCTTGAGGATATGAATCTTGCCAACAGCATGAGTTGGATTGGACTTGATCACTGATGCAAGTAATCGACACGATGTCCCAAAGTCACCACGTTTGGCTTCTCTCTTCTCCAACATCAAAATCTGGAGTAAATTGATGCTAAAAATTCGAATGACTTAATTTTTTTTCCAAGCTTGTACCTGACTGATTTCGCCTTACGTCGCAGATCATGCGAGTCAGTAGCTTTATTCGACAACTCCCGCAGCCTCTTCGGGCCGCCTTTAGACGAAAGTAACCTTAAATGGCTGAGGGTGTATTTTCCATCCATTCACCGTCTTGTATCCACTCCTTTCCTTTCAGTTCATTGAGGCGAAAGTATAAAAAACATACGAAGCACGCACTGTATTCGTACCCCGTAGATAAGAAAACCGAGACGGAATCCGGAATTGGTAAACAGATGTGATCATCTATCTTTGAGACATAAGCATATCTATCTATGGGGTAGAGTAGATGAAAATGGTCTCATATTTTCCCAACCCCTCGCTGCCTTGACGCGATATCCGCAGTGGCTCGAGTGGCTCGAGTGATTGTTATCCCCCCCTCATTTTGGGGAATCATCGGAATCGAAGTCGATGCGTGATGAAGGGGGAAGAGAACCATTGAGGTAAAGCGTGGGTGTTTCCTCCCGGGATCATAGTGTGAAAAAAGCTTCGTATAGATTATACTTTGTTCTTAATTCCGCAGTATAAAATTTCCCAGTGGTAATGCCTTGGCTCTGGGTAAGGCGTACCAAGGCATTATTAGCTTTTTATTAGCAGCATGAGATATTCATTTGAAGACGTTAGATTAGAAATGATACGACACGCTAGAAAACGCGACGAAAAACTTAATGAAAGTCATGACCAATCGTTGCCCTCGAGAAGAACGTGACATAGTCTCGGTGCTCGGAAGAGGCTTGTTTTAGCACCGATGTGGCCGTCGCTGATTACTAATACTGTAAATATACCTGAGGCTCTAACCTTTTCAGATCTCGGGTTGCAACGGCCTTGGACATCTTTTCCTTTTTCTCCATCTGCCGTTGAAACTTACTTTAGTATTACGCCTAGATAAGATTACAACTCATAGTCCGAAGTAGTAAATCTTCACATTTGCACGAAGATTGGTGGACGAAACTCGGAATAACCTTACTTTTCTTGCCTTTACCTTTCCATCTGCGTAGGTAATTGGACCTGGGTATAGATAAATCTTAAAAAACTTGGAACATCATCGCCCATCAATACTCCGGACTCCCGGAACATATGACGACGACTCACGAGAATGACAGGATTGACAGGAATGACAAAATTGACAGGATTTGACCCAAAGCACCGACAGACGGATTGACCGACACAAATGATGTCAATTTGATCTATCGTGCTGTGTCGTGCGTGTTGTGTCGTGTCGTGTCGACGAGCTAATTGGATTGATTTTACATTAAATCGCTCAACCTTTCTTTGCCGATTTCTGGGGTTTCAACTTTCACTTCACAATCAAATCACTGTGTCTTGGGATTGTGAAGATCACAAAACTAGGGTTCTCCAGAAATTGGAAGGATTCATAAGTTGTAGGGTTAATGCAAGCAGTTCTTCAATGCACTCACTGAAGATAAACGCAACTGAAATAAGTTCATCGTCATTAACCATGCACAAGATGATCCATCAAAAGGTACAGTGGTGAAAATGAGAACGAAACATAAGACGAAACCCAAATATCTGCAAGTGAAAGTGCTATTTTTAATTCCATCAACGAGTCAAACTGGAGTGGATATACATTACACAATTTTGTAATGTTTGAAATCTCTCGTCTTCACACCTCTTGCGAACATCAGATCCAATTCTTCATACGTCCTTCCTTTGGTTTCCGGAACTCTAAGCCAACACCAGATAAGACATAACACCGAACAACCACCTATCTAATCATCAGTCACTATGCTCTTTTCGATATTTATAGTTGTGAATAATGATAAGCAATACCTGCATCAATCGGCATATTCCTCTGTTGTGAAAAATGATAGAACAAAAGATTTCACTCACCATAGAAAAATCCAATCTTTCCTCTCCAATTCGCTTGATCCGGATTAATCATATAAGGAATGGCAACCGTCATAACTATCCCAACAAGTGCTTGCATTGCCGTAGCCACAGCAATAGTTTTCGAACGAACTTTAGTCGCTGATACCTCACAGAAAATCGTGTAGCAAACGGGGCCAACACTAAGATCAAAGATACCATTCCAAACGATCATGAGCGTCGATTGTGCCCAGATGACACCTGGACGATTCACATAATTTGGTACACAATCCAGAATCCCAATAAGAAACATAATAGTTGTAAGCATCGCAAGTCCGATGTTGTAGATGCGTCGTCGACCGAATTTTGATATCAGAATCCATGATAAAAGGGTTCCTACGAAGCCAACAGCTAAAAATCCGACGCTCATATCAAATGCTTTGGATCCAGCAAGACCGGCAACTGGAACGGTAAGTTAGTACGTTATCATTTAGTTATACACATAATACCCAAGTAGCATGAATGGATGTACATTCTAGAAAATGACCTTGAATATGCTCAAGGAAGAATCAAGATACAACACCAGAAGAAAAGAAGACTTACGTTGAAAGAAATAGGCCGCATAACCCACCAGATATATCCCACTGAAAACCTGCGTCACAAAAACCGCAATTGCAATCTCCGTTCTCCTGATATTAGTCTTGTTAAAAACATCCCAATAAGTTGTTCCCGTCTCCATCTCCAACTCCAACCTATCCGTCTCAATCATCATCGCCAGAACCAATTTATTATTAATTTCCTTCGATGACAGTCTATCCAGCGATTTCTCTGCATCTTCAAGTCTATCCTTCCTGACTAACCACCAGGGTGATTCAGGCGCGAAAGGAATTCCAATCAAGATGATAAGAGGCCAAAGCCATTGAATTGCAAAGGGAGCACTATATGCCCAATGATTGTCGAGACGAGACGTTCCAGCAATAACCCCATTTGCGATGAGTTGACCCATCACAAAACAAAGGTTAACATAGGAAGTTAGATGACCGCGAAGCGCTATGGACATACCTCCGATGCGTAGGTTGGGGCAATGGTAGTATATGTGCCTAGGATGAGACCGCCGATAAGTTCCCCAACGAGAAGAACAGGGAGAGAGCGCGCGAAGAATTGCATGAAGATAAATGCTGCAGTACCGGATACACATGCCATATATGTCTAGCAATTCCAAGTTAGCTTCGAGCGCACATCAAGTCCTTCGCAGTTATGAAGATTTCGAAAACCCACCCATTTCCTCCCATACCACTCCATCGGAAACCCAATCAGTAACGCTCCCACCACCTGTCCAATCGGGTTCCCCATTCCCAAGGCCGTCTGCCATTGCGCGCTTACGATATAAGCTCCCTTGTATTTATATCCAAAATCCTTTTGGAAAGCAGGAGTCGCATATAAACTTCCCAGTAATTGGGGATCAAAAGCCGTCATGATTATTCCGAGAGAGAAAAATGCAGACCAAGCTATTGCAGCGGGATAGAGACGAAGCGCATCGCGAAAAGACATGGAATGCTCGATTTCTGTTGCAGTTTGCGCATCGAGGTGGGTTTGTTTGTTAGGAAGATGCGGGGGGTCGATGGGGAGAGATACATCTTGGAGGTGTGGTTTTGTGGTCATGTCTTCAGACTTCCGCATCTTGATTCCTGGGACTGATGATGAGGAGGAGATGAGAGAATTCAAGATCAAACCAGTTTCCTTAGAAGGTGAAGCTGATCTCCAAAGATATCGCCGTCTGATGTGCAATACCCAATATTCAATATTCGTAAATCGTCACCCACTATGTATCCTCAAACACACCCGTTGGAATCATGCTATATTGTATGAAAATCTCGAGGAGACCCTTCATTAAATCTTAAATCCTTATCGCGCTTGCGAAAGCAGAAAAGATTGATCCATCCATAGATACTTATCGACGATAAGCTGCAACTCACACTTCTGCAGATACGGGATGCGACGTTATGATATGATATCAGATTGCCAAAATGGGGGTGGGTGCATGTGGGGAAAACCCTATCAAACCCCGCGGACTTGGCACTCCCGGAAAACCGATAACTATAGATAGACGCCACGGAACGGACAACTAAATTGGGAAGGTAGATAGGTAACTTGACGACGTTGCAAAGGTGGTTCAGTATTGAATTGGGCTTGTTTGAAGTTATCTACCGAAGTTGGGGTACATGCTTGCATCCAGTCTGAGTCAGCAGTATATCTTGACGAATAGAACAAGGCAGGTATGTCTTCAGGACGTTTACTTATCATTATCACCGCTTCTACATATATAGGTAGTATATCTAAGAGTGGAGCTTGGTTCATATTGAACTCGTATGTATACATCAGAAGCTAAACTCAATTTCCTCGTATATCTATTCAATGATACGTTACGAGCGGCCCACACGGTATGGAACCTTGACATTACAATTTATTTCTACTATTGCTTGATACAACGACTTGCAGTCGGTGATATCCTTGGTATCGATTTTTCTGCAGCCAAATGCATGAGAGTATTCAGCCGCGAGTGCGGAGTACTAAAGTTGCATGTTTGGAGAAGGGACAGCTAGCCATTACACAGAGAGTGCTCTTGGCTGTTACTTTGATATGCTGTACGACGTGAGAAGGATTGCGGGGTAGATGTTTTAATTTGTAGGAGGCATTCGTGGTTTTTTTAAGGTATGGTCCGTACGAGCTGTATATTTCTGCCTCTGCTTTGTATATGAGTAGTCTTGTATCGAGAGGATACATTATTACAATGAATTGAAAGAGAGAAACAACTTTCTTCACATAGTCGTGAGATAATTGTGCTTGAATATCATTGAGAGTGAGAAGGAAGAATCATTGCAATGTATTTTCCCGTGAAAACCATCATCCCTTGGTTTCTACAAAAAGCATCTCTCATTCACGTTCTCGCTTTAAGCACATCTTCATGTTCTCAAACCTCAACAACAACAACCTCTCCAACCGCCCAAGAATGCTCACCAGGTCCTGATCCCCCAGTTTCCCCACCCCTAAATAACAGTCTCGCCCTCACCCCTCCCATGGGCTGGAGCTCCTGGAATCAATTCGGTGATTTGATCGACGAGAACCTCATCAAGACCACCATTGATGCCATGATATCTAACGGTCTAAAGGACGCCGGCTATATTTATGTGAACTTAGATGATGGTTGGCAGCGATACAAAGGGCCTCGATCCGCTCACCCCCTCGAAGCCGATCCTGTCAAATTTCCAAATGGAATCAAAGCTGTAGCCGACTATGCGCATGAGCGAGGTTTTAAATTAGGTATCTATTCCGGTCCGGGCGATCAGACTTGTGCTGGATATACGGGGAGTCTTGGGCACGAGGAAGAAGATGCAGATATGTTTGCTAGTTGGGGGATTGACCATTTGAAATATGATAGGTAGTCTTATTCTCTTTCCGAGCATAACTTTGAACATTTTCTAATAATCATAGTTGTTGCTCCCATGGAGATGCTCCCAAATCCGTGATTCAAGAAATCGTATTGAAGATGTCCAAAGCACTCCTAGAAAGTGGTCGTCCCATCGTTTACCACGCATGCCATTGCGGTTGGGCCGATATCTGGGAATGGGCCGCTGATGAAGGAGCAAATCAGTGGCGCATTGGTCAAGATATTTCTGATGAGTTCAACTATCCTGGAAATCGGGAAAAGTACTATTTCGACGTCTTGGACATGATTGATCGAGGAAATGACTTGGTGCAATATTCAGGTCCAGGTCATTGGAATGATTATGATATGTTAATCATTGGGCTCAATGGGAATTCGACTCAACTTGTGGGAACTGGGGCGTCGAATATTGAATATCGGACGCATTTCAGTATGTGGGCCATGGTAGCTTCTCCTCTACTCATCGGATCCGATGTGAGGGCTTTGGATACTTATGAACTCCAAACTCTTACCAATAAAGAGATTATTGAGATAAATCAAGATCCGCTTGGAATATCAGCCCAAACAGTGGGTGTAGGCTACGAAGATGATGGAGATCTTCAAGTTTATGCTAAAGAAATGGTGGATGGGAGTTATGCTGTCGCATTACTAAATCGTGGAACTTTCACGGCGGAAATGAGTTTTAGTCCTCGTCGGGATATTCTTATGACTTGGGATCATTATCGAATTCGTGATTTGTGGAAACATAAAGAGGGTCTTTATGATGTTCCGTATACTGTGGAGGTAATGCCCCATGAAGCTAAGATTTTGAGAGTCTGGGAGGTGCAGAAAAATGCGTCTATGTGCTTTTTCCAGTGAGATATCAGAGGTAAGATCTGGGCAAGTGATCTTTGAATAGAGCTGCTAATAGGTACCTATAACCACCATTTGAAATCAGACCGCAAAATATTAAAGAACTCTCGTCTCATTCTGATAAAATACGTATGTGCCATTTGGGAAAATATAATCGATCTGTTGAATCAGTTGTCTGAGTAATAGTTGAATGAAAAGTAGAAATAACTCAAAGGACCGAAAAAATCATTGAAAAGAGACATCGTTGGAGGTGGCGAGGTTGAGCAAAATGAATTTCGATACCATTATTTACAGCATTTGATACTTTCCTCGCTGTCACTAGATTTCGTGAACATCAAAACACCATTCCCAAAGCCTCTTACAGGGTTCATTGGAATCAAACTCCATTTAATGCAGCCTCCGATTCAGGATCATGGTAGTGATGCATTTCAAACCCTCTCCCTTCATAACCACACTTTTCGTAAAAGGGTACCTTTTTGGCACCACAGTCAAGTATACTCTGTAATACGATCAGCTACTGATGTATTCTTAAAACTGCATACGTAACGAAATAAACTCACCTTGTAACAACCTCTCTCAGAGGCAATATGATCCAAGGCCTTAATAAGTTTTGTTCCAAATTGCTGTCCCTGATGATCCGCCGAGATACACACATCTTCCACATGGCCTTGTAGTCCCAAATTCCCAAGGCTTTACCAATAAAGCATTAGCCCTTCTGCTCCTCTCACTGATGTCTTTCCAAAATAGATTCTAGAAAACACTCACAATTTCATTTCCACAACCAGTGTCCCAGTCCCCATGATAAACTCTCCATCACCCTCACCACCCTTCTCCTTCACAATCACCAACACATAATAAGTATCCTCACACTTTTTCATCGCATCGAATCTTTCTTCCCATTGTTCTTCTGTAATGGGTCCTACATACGCTAAATCTCGAAGAACACCTAGATATCCACGATGGAAATCCGAGCGTTGGAGTGCACGGAATTTATAGCCTTCTGGGAGGGTATTTTGACATTCTTCGGAGATCAAATCGTGTGAAAAGAGTGATATTTCGGAGGAGGTCATCGTGAATGAAAAAAAATGCGTATCAACAAACTGTGGGAAGTTGACTATGTGACTAAGTTATGGAAATTTCAGAGACAAGTGGAATGAAATATAAATGGGGTGCATGGAAGTCACGAGAAACAAAAATACGTGGCAGATCACGTGATGCATATACCGACCAGCTTGTACACTGTAGATGAGATCTCCAATTTGTTTAATGCGCCGGATGCGAGTCCCTCTTTTGAAGGTAGCATTTGCTTGTATTCCCGGCGGTATTCATCTGGCCGCTAATGATATACTGCTATAGAGACAATCAAGCCCAGCCAGCAAGATTAATGGTAGATTTCTGACAGTGATTGATTGGTCGATGCGTCGGATGCAACGTATGTTTTGAGGCTTCTCAAAAGTGGGAAATCAAATACAGACTGATAGATATATGTGACACTATCATTTCCTGGTTACATCGTGATCTTCAAGATGACTTTCAATATCCATCTTCCTCTCAATGCCATTGATACCATCAATCAACCTCCACTGTATTACCTCCAAATCCAAGATACTCTCATACTTTCGACGGGGTTCTTTTGGACCATTGCATATCTTCTATACATTCGACAAGCGTATCGAGATGAATCTTATGGAATGCCTATTATTGCACTGTAAACATCATCATTCTATATATCGCTCCAACTAACAACATGTAATAGCTGTGCAAACATAGGGTGGGAGATAGTCTATGGCTTTCGCCTTCCATTCACCCTGACTCAAATCCTAGTTTTTGTTCCCTGGCTTATCATAGATGCCTTTCTTGTGTACACTACAATGAAATTTGGGCCAAACCAGTGGAATCATGCTCCCATGATATCTCAAAATTTGAAGACAATTCTTGGGGGAGGTATTGGAATGATGATGGTTCTGCATTGGGCATTTGCGGAGACTCACGGCGACGATATGGATGCAATGTTTTGGTCGGCGTTTGTTCTTCAGATGTTCCTTGGGATTTCCTCAGTTGCGCAGTTGATGGAGAGAGGCCATACAAGTGGTCATTCTATTGAGATTTGGTGAGTTGTATGGTTGATGGTTTGGCGTTTTCTCTGTGCTAATCAGGACAAATAGGTTTTGTCGTTTCACTGGTTCAGCATCTGCAATTTTGACGTATTGCTGGAGATACTTCCACCATCCGAAGGACTACACAGTGGTAGGCACACCTTTAACAGCATTTCTTTTTGTGGCGGCTGAATTGGCCGATTTATATTATCCTATCGTGTTCAAACACCTGCGAAAAAGAAATGATAAAAGCAAGGTGTTGTAAAATGAGTGCAGTAGGATGCGTTAGGCGGGGACCATGATTCTCGGCGGAAATGCTTCTGATTGGCTGAACACCGCGGCAACATTTAGTTAGTCGCGCAATGGACTTTCTGATTTGTTAAATTGTTCAAAATTGGTCATTTTGATATGGTGATGACAATCATTAATAAATGACCTAGGTAACATTCACTGTGAAGTAAGGGGGAATATATAAATAGGTTCACGCTCGAGTAATTGATAAAATCTGTGCCCCGCGAAGTTCTTTCACCAGTCTGAGAGCAGTAACGATTTACTATAAGAAGTACACGTCAATCCTCAATCAATTCTTCTAAACGTTGATATATATATTTTCGAGGTCAAAGTCTTCAAAGAATTCATCTAGAAAATCATCCAAAGGACGTTCAATAGCTTAGAATATCAGGTACTACTCTCCTTGAACTCTACACTCTCATCGAGTATCATATGGAGGGAGGTTATTTACTCAATCAATAATCAGCCCACATTGACCCGCAGACCCCGATCTCCATAGCTGACAGACCTTCAGACATTCAAAGCTCAACCTCAACCTCAACCTTACCCATCCCATTGTCAATCCATTTCCGAATACCTTCAAAATGTCCTCCAACTCCACTGCCCACGAAGTAGTCATTCTAGGTGGGAACTTTGGCGGAGTCAACGCCGTTCACCAATTGCTTCGTCAAACTTTACCTCAGCTCCATCGTCTCGATCAAACAAAATCCTATCATATCACACTCATCACCCCCAACACATCATTCTTCTTCAAGATCGCCAGTCCACGAGCTCTCATCAATGGAACTTTGATTCCTCATGAAAAAATATTCGTCCCATTGTCCGAGGCCTTTTCAAGATATGACGCCTCGCAATTCGAATTAATCCAAGGCGTGGCTTCAGCTTTAGATCCCGCAACGCGAACAGTCACCATAGCAACAGGTGATGGAACTACAGATGCCACGCGACAAATTCACTACGATTCTCTCATCATCTCCACAGGTACAACCTCCAAATCCCCACTCTGGACACTCCACGGTTCAGAATCCCACACGAAAACCGCTTTGAGTGCATTACACACTGCTCTCCCAAACGCAAAGACTGTCCTCGTAGCCGGAGGCGGCGCCGCTGGTGTTGAAACCGCAGGAGAGATTGCATCAAATTATCCAAATTGTAAAGTTACACTTCTCTCTGGTGCAAACAGAGTTCTTTCGAGGGTCAAACCGGCAACCAGTGCACGAGCCCAAGATTATCTCGAAAATATTGTTCACGTCGAGGTTATCAATGATGTACGCATTGAAAGTGCAAACCCCGCCGAGCCAGGTGTTTCCCCTACTACCCTAACTCTCAGCGATGGTAGTAAACGCGATGTCGATATATACATTGACGCTACTGGAGGAACACCCAACAGTGAATTCCTATCAAAATCATGGCTCGATGAATCAGGACGCGTTATCACACGTGATGCTTATTTCCGCGTCAAGGGAAATGGTTCAGACGATGTGAAGGGTATCTACGTATTAGGAGATATCGTAGCCGGAAGTTCTAATTCAGCCTTGGAAATGGATCCTATGCTTGCAACACTATGCTCTTCTCTCGCAGTAGATCTTGCCACCGATCTCGGCATCAAGAAGCCTGCGGAGCCAACTCCCGGATTGTTGGGCTCGGTATGGAAAATGATTGCTGGGGGTTCTGGAACTGGATTTCCCGTGCAACAGGAATTCAAACCAATGAAGGAAACAATTTTCGTACCTATCGGAAATGGAGGTGGTGTCGGACAGATTTTTGGTTGGAGAATTCCTAGTTTGATGGTGAAGGTTGGCAAAGCAAAATCTTTCTTGATAGAGCTTGTCGGACCAATGATTTCGGGGGAGAAATTCAAGAAGGCTTAATTTGATGCGTATGGATAAGAATGGGATTTATGGAAAGGTTTAGGTTCAGACAGCAGGTGCACTGGTCCCTAGGGTGATATCCTTTCCAAGATTTTAAACAATGGCGCAAATGAAAAATCTTCGTGTTACATTTTTCCATTTCTGAATCAAAGTCGCACGGGTGAGAATAGTTCTCTCAATTCTTCCTAGTGTGTATCTTCATACCAAGATCTAAATCCCATGTAACTTCCCCCGCCAGAAGTTTTTTATTTATCTGGTCTTCTAAAAATCCTCCATTTGCGTCAACGTCTCTCTTCTCATATATCTCCTCCTACTTCGCCCGTGGATTGATATCATTTCGAAGCTGTCATGTCTGTTGTAAAAGAATTGTTGACACAATACATACTAGGTATCTTCCGCTTCTTATACTGAAGGAAACTCTCACATTAGTCTAACCCAAAAGCAATAGACTGATGAGTACCCTCCAATATCGGAATCGCTCATCAAGAGTGCTTGAATATATTGCAATGGAAATGATTATCTGCCACATACGACCATAGACTGAAGAGAATTGGGCATCCCGTCCGCTCTGCCATACACAAGCTTCAGATCGGTGGATTAGTAGTTGGGTGGGTGACCACCAGCGAATCCCCACTGTTGTATGTTCTTTTGACATTTATTTTTGCTCTCTTCGATTTATACATGTGGTAGTCGCGTCGGTTGTTATGGAGGGTCGGATTTTTGCGAGGATATTGAAGGAAGAGAGAAAAGGGTGAAGGATTTGGAGAAATTGTCTGTGTCCGCAGAATGAGGTGATTTCAATAATCTCGATTTCGCAGAGTCTGTATGTGGTATGCGGGGTTCTATTGGTAATTGACAAGCGTCTATGTTTCGTTTCTTATCTTTTCATTTGTAAACACGAACTGGGTTTCGTATCATATACTTCGGAGTACATAATTTCGCAATGGGAAAGGTTTATGAACCCCGTCTCGTGTACCTTGCTTCTGAACAACAATTCAGTCATCTAGTCACTTCATATCGAAGTGTTGCCGGATATTCATTGCCGCGTATCATGGCGACTATATATCATCAGTTATTGGGGCAGGTCAAATTCATCAGATATCTACTGTCAATAATTGGCTTGGAAGGATATCCTCCGCATCTTTGGGATCGATGTAATTTACATAGGATCACACCCTGAACCTGCAATGGGCCCTTTTTGAAATTCACGTGTAGTCAGAACGGGGATAATTGATAGCTGAGAGACTGGATGGTCTCCGACTTGACATTTTTTGAGATCGAGTATCGGACCTAGGTTTAAATTGGATAGGAAAACGTATCGTGAAGGGAAAACATGACATTTTGTAATTGGCGAGCTAGGAGAAAGTTCAACGCAACAATGTTAGGATGCTGATCACAGGTCTGGAGTATTTGGCGGGTGGAAACAATCATGGTAAGAAGATATAGTGTAATGTTTTCTCAGAAATCAGAAGCACAAATATACTAGTCACCATCGATATTCCTAATCTGGTTCTTGATATGTCATATTTGTTTCATGGCGTATTCCTATGATCTCCTGGTATAATCTGCTCCCCTAATAGAACCAACCTATCCTAAAAACTTCACAGGAACCTCAACCCACTTATCCCTCAAGTAATCCGCAAATCCCTTTCCCAGGCAATCCAATCGACTACTGCTACTAACACCTCTCCCCAGATACCCATAGATCACAAAATGCACCGCCATTATTGCCGGAAACTCAACTCTTTCAATCAAATATTCTTCTTTCCAGTCTTCGCCTAATAATTCTTGCATTTTCGAACGACTGAAATAGTTCTGAAGCCAGCTGTATAGTTTCGGGTCAGAGGATGATGGGATAAATATCCCGCAGTTGAGATTCGCGCCTTTATCGCCGGAGCGAGCGAGTGCTATATCGCCTAGTCGAATACTTTTTGTAGGCCCAAATGTGGAGAGAGATTGGGGGGAGACAGTATCGTATGTAGCACGACGAGTGAATGGTTGATATCTTGGTGGGTGTCCGCATTCAAATGTCTGTACTTCATTGTCGGAACTGATGACATGCATTTGTTCATCAAGTTCATCTTGAGGGAAAAGTGCTGGATAATATGCCAGGAATGGTTTGGGGGTCGCAGTACGCATATCGAGGGATGCGTGGAAACCTGAGAAGTGTTGAAGAGATATTTCGGTGAGGGCTTTGACTAGGCCTTGGAGGGTTGCAGCTTCAATGGCTTCAGCGAATACACGACAATAAGTTGTGCTGCTGAGTTGTGTCGAAGGATTCGTTTCGGGTACACCGATGCTATATAATCAGTAACTCGTTTATTGAAAAATTGCAGATACAAAGGGACTCTTACGTTTGAAATTCCAAGAGTTCAAAAGATTTATCAATTCCAGCAATTTGTAATTTTCTTCTCATCTGTCTTTCAAATAGAGCCCATTTCTGTTTGGTGCCATAACCTGTTGCGTTTACTAGAATTTGGCATTGATATCCGGCATGATAAAATATTGCTGCTTTGGTTGTTGGAGGTGGCGGAAGACCAGTAACACCTGTAACTTTGACGCTTTTATCTTTACATGAGTAACAAATCTCGACATGGAGGTAAATTTGTGACACTCACCGGTTCTCTGACAATTGACAGACAGATATATTATCAAGGACGGCAGTCACATCACTATTCAGGTAATGATTACCTTGAATCTCGTAGAGAAATTGGGCCACGACAGTATCAGAAGTAATCATCCCACCAGTAGTTTCATGTTTAGTGATTGTACAAGAACCATCCGCTTCGATTTCCGCAATAGGGAATCCTGGATCAATGAAAACGTCCTGATCATATTCAGTAAAGCCAGAAAAATTGGCTCCAGTAACATAGGCTGAACATTCTATTAGATGTCCGGAGATCAAGGATCCAGCAAGAGAGTCGTAATCAGTTTCTGACCACGAGTGCCAGTACTAAAGCGTCCGGCAGTCAGCAAATGCGTATGATCAAAACATTTTCAACACACAAAATAAAAAGTTGTTCCACAGGAAACCAAGGAAGAAAGGAAGCGAATGAAACTGGAATCATCATTGAACTTACCCATGCAGCAGCAATCACAGGAGATGCGTCAGAAACTCGCCCGCAGATTATAATATCGGCACCTTCACGCAAACCCTTAACAATAGCATGAGCTCCAAGATAAGCACTACTTAACACAATAGGAATCGTTTTATCTTCCAAAAAAGAGAAGGTATTGGCCGGTAATTGTAGGTCCTGGTTCCATGAATCAAAGTGTTTCGGTAAATTTCCACGTAAGGAAGCCATATCTGGTCCTGCATGTGAAATCAGGTCATCCCCAGAAACCCAGCCAACCTTGAGAGCAATGCCGCGTTGTTTGGCAAGTTCATCAACTTTTCTTGCTAAGCCTTCGGGATTCAAAGCGCCACCGTTAATAACAACCTTAGTCTTTTTCTCGGCTAGCAATTCAAGAGATTGAGTCAATCCATCTAAAGCAGTTGAGATATATCCTGGATGATTTCCACTTCTATATGCCTCTGCATTCTCGGCCATATTCATCTCTTCCGAGGGTTTGTTAGTTTTGTTCGTGTTCCTTACACATCCATGACATACCAGCAAGGTAGTCACCGGTAATGAAATCTACATTTCCTAATGAAATCTGTTCGTACATCCTATAAGCGGGATCACCTCAGGGGAGAGTCAGTGTCTTTCTCAGGAACTCATATCAGAAATCACGAACATAAGTAACCCGAACAATTAGCAACTCTGACAGGTCTTCTGGGCTGAAAAGCACCATGGATTGCCGTTTCATTTGTCGTCGCCATAGTATCGAAGCTGGGCTCCGATTGACAAGAAATTGATATGTGAAGGTACTGAAAAAGAAGAGGAACGAAGAAAAGGCGAATCTGAAGAGATCAATGTCACATGAAGCTGATATATGAGTTTGGCTACATAGTTTTTCATCAACCTCGGTGGCTTGTAGTTAACCTCGGGGTTCGAGACTACTGAGGGTGATGCTGCGTTGGGTAATTTTTATACGAGCGGATGAAGAGGATCTGCCGTCAAGATCGGCAGCCATGACCACAACTAAGTTATGTGTAGTGTTTGACATACAACACATACTTCTAGCGATCATCATGGAACAATCAATGATAAGTCACTGCGGCAATGACGGAAATGGCGGGTCTCCTCTCAATGTGGTTGATACCAGGTTGTGGGGTAATAGCATGCGGCCAATCTGCGGCTCATACTGAATACGCAGAGTCTATTCCATCCCAATTCCCAAATAGGAAATTTTTCGTGAAATTATCGACTTACAAGAATCAGACAACAACACGACAGCCCAGAGCGTCTTTTGTGTCATTTGACTCACTCTCTTAATGTTTTCTTGTAGCAAAAATATGGAGAATGCGTGTCACTTAAGCCGAGGCCCGTTGCTGGTTTCCGGGCTAAAGTTGCAATCTGTTAAAAAGCTTGATATGGTAGCTACCACTCTGTTAGTATAAGTACTCCTATAAAGAGATTCCGATGGAAGGTACCTCCTCAAGTATCATCTGTCACTCAATCGATATAACGAGACGACAATGTATTCAGTACCAGAAGAGAGCAAAAAGGTTTTCCAACAAGGGATCTTGGAAAATCCCACAATCATTCCCAATCTGCCAAAGGACTTTCAAGATCATGCCAAGAAGATCAAATTCGAAGGAGAGGATGCTCCAACTATACCAATCAATTGGCGATTCGCTGAGAGTATATCTTCAATCAAAGCTTTGGAAGCGACGGTACTTTTATCGCTGTTGAAAAAGAAATATGATGTGGAGCCGAAAGAAGTTATCATCAACACGTGAGTAACCTTGATCATACTATAGCGACGCCGTCTCGTCTCCTAAATTCACACCCTTGCCCCTTCATCTCACATCACATCCGCCTTCGCTTTCGCAACAGCAGTTAACAAATTATAATAAATGCAGCGATCATGCACAACTTTTTATCATGTCTACTCTATTGTGGGAAATTAACCACGAAGGAACCAAGGTGACACTATTCAATGCCTCTGATCCAAATTCTGAGAATGGAAAACTTCTTGCAAAATGGTTCCCTTCAACCGATATTCACAGATTACAAGGAACACATCATCGTGCCTCTTGTACAAACATTTACAAGACAAAAGATGCAAAGTACTTCCATATACATGGTAAGAGTGCTTATAAATGATTTTGGAGATGATCTATTTGCTGACTTCCTTCAGGAAGCATGAATCCAGATCCTAGCTTGGATAGTATTGGACTACCCCATGAAATGGACCAGCCAAGCGTCGAAGCGTCTTGGAATCCATTCATAGAGAAGATAGGACAAATAGAATCGGATGATATGCAAAGAATAGCATCAGATGAGTACAAACAAGCAGGAACAATTTGTTGGACAAAGGAAGAATATAAAAATAGCGAGCATGGCAAAGCTAATGCTAACGCTGGATTGTTTGAAATCAGACATCATCCAAATACGACCCAAGTTGCAGGTTGGTGGCCCGAAACAGAGCAAACAAGCCCAAAGCGACCTTTGGCTGGCTTGAAAATCGTTGACATCACCCGAGTCATCGCAGCTCCAGCAATCGCAAGGGGCTTAGCAGAATTGGGTGCAAGTGTCATGAGGATCACTCCTCCGCATCTCCAGGACTACTCTCAACTGCACTGTGATCTGAATTGGGGAAAATGGAACACCCATCTGGACTTCAGAAACAAGGGTGATCTTGAGAAAGCCAAAGAATTGATCCGAGACGCAGATGTTGTTGTTACTGGTTACAGACCGGGAGTCCTTGATAAATATGGGCTCGGGAATGATGGCATTCGCGAGCTAGTCAAAGGCAGAAGTCGAGGTATTATTATCGCAAGAGAAAACTGTTACGGATGGCATGGTCCTTGGTCTTATCGAAGTGGATGGCAACAAATTAGCGACGCAAACTGTGGTGTCTCTATGGAATTTGGTCGAGCCATGGGTAACGATGAGCCTGTTACACCTATCTTACCAAACTCGGATTACTGCGCTGGAGTTTCAGGTATTGTTGGAATTCTTCAAGCACTGATACAGCGCTCAGAAACTGGCGGCTCCTACGAAATGGATGTGGCTCTAAACTACTATTCTCAATGGCTTGTCAACTCATGTGGCATGTATCCACAAGAAGTCTGGGAAGATCTATGGTCAAGGAATTGCAAACCTGTCTTTCGACACTATCACAATATGAACTATACAATGCCCAGGCTATTTCAGACGCTGATAAAGTCAGGCACTGGCAAAACCATTTTACGCGATGAATTCTTCGAAGATAGAGAAACTAAAGCTGTCGGGGTAAATATCAAAACTGTAAAACCTATTTTAAGGTTCCCAAACAAAGAAGTGGAATTGAGGTATAATGTTGGTACCAGAACAAACGGTGTTGATGCTGCGCATTGGCCGGCCGATCTGATGACAGAAATAGTAGTATGAATGCCTATCAAATTTAACTATTATTCACTTGTGAGTGACATGGCTACCTTTTTGCAACCAGAGAGGCTGTATCGAGAGGCGATACGCCGCACAACTACTGTGTCAGTTGTTGATATGATATATCGCTGCGCCGCAACATCTTGCGTGCTTTTCCACAATGAGCTGAGTTATCGCCGCCATCAACAATTGATATCTGCTAGTTTAATACTGCATCTACTATTTCTTTGTTAATGTTGCACATCTCTACTCCCCTATTCCCTTTACTAGTTGCGTAACTTCTACCACTTCACAATTACCAGTTAGTAATCTATCATCATGATGTCTCATCCGGAATCAGTTTCCAGCTCTCAACTTCCACAACCAGAGCTTGCACCCGAGATACTTGAGGCTCCATTCTTCGAGCGCTCTAAATAGGTCACCGGTTCTGTTCATATCGATCCCTTCTACACCCTCCCTTTAGGAAAAACTTTAAACCCCTCGGTCCCAGAAACCCTCCTAAAAGTCCAAGAAAGTGTCGATCCTACCTTATACTCTCTTCCGTCTCCCGTCTTTATCTCGCGTATCATTTACCAGTCCCTCGACCATACCGGAGACCCCGTTCCTGCCTCCGCGTAAAACACTTTGGCCTTTTCTCCCATGAAAGAACCCAGATGGTAGCTCCCAAATTGTCGCCCGGGCCCATGGTACCTCCGGTATATTCTCTGAACGCGCTCCTTCTCAACTCCGAAATTTACACCAGCACATCCTCGCGCCCTATGCTCCAATTCTATCCGGCTATGCTGTGGTTGCCACTGATTATGCCGGCCTAGGTGTCTCCAATTGCACTCAGCCACAGAACCAATCGATTATTCACCACTATCTCACCAATCCTGCTGCTGCGAACGATGTAATATATTCGATTAGCACGGCTCATTCCACATTTCCATCCCTAGGATCAGAGTCTGTATCAATTGGTCATTTCCAAGGTGTAGATGCAGTTTGGATCATTGCACAACATAATGCCAAGGAAAACATCGAAGGGTACCTTGGAGGTGTTGCAATCAGTCCTACAACAGATATTAGAAGTGATTTTTATCCTATTGAAAATGTCGTCTGGGCGGGAATGATGCTAGGTCTGAAGAATGTGTTCCCCAAATTCTAGTATCCAGATGTTTTTACCGAGGAAGGGCTCGCTGCACTGAACACTCATAGAGAAGTTGAGGGAGGTGGCACAGTGTAAATGGGTCTATTCTTATCATTGGTACTTGAAGAAAACTTGCTAAGATATGGGTGGAGAGACAATGAATGGGTTATCAAATATAATGATTTGATAATGAATGGAGCCAAGGAAATTAGCGGACCGCTGTTGGTTATCCATGGGGAGAAGGACCCGCTCATCGATTCTACTCTTATGGATTATCCTGATTCTGAGTTGGAATTCATGAGACTACCTACTACGCACGACTCGGCTATCACAGGAAGTCAGTGGATATGGATGGATTGGATTAGAGAGAGATTCGAGGGCAAAGTCATAGAGATGTGTGGCGAGATGCACTCAGGAAAGGGGAAACTGAATCGGGACAGAAGTATTGTTTTGGAGAAACCGGAGGGGAACTGTGAGTTCGAGACTAACTGGTTCATGGCACGCGCAACTGAGTCTTATCATAAATTTTGACCGACATAATTGCGGGACTATGCGATAAAGTTTTCATTAGTTTGGTCAACAATCCAAAAATGGAAGCCTCTCAAATAATGTGCCCAGTCAAGTATTTGATTTCTCTCATTCACTTGAGATATTGGATAGTTTCTAGAAGTAGAAAGTTCATATCTAATTTATGCTTTTGAATTCCCTGCACATGTAAGATAATCGCTTGTGTTTTGGGAATCATAAATGAACCTAATTAAGTGTCTGAATCTTCTTAGTATTGACTAATAATAATGAAAAAGATGTGATACTAGAGCGGATATCAGGACAACTTGCTGACGACGATGGTAGATAAAGTCAAAAACGCCCAAAACCCAAGACCACGGCATTGCCATCGGCTTCAAGAGACATACCATGTTATATGTTTTAGAGAGGGGAAGATAACAGATAAATCACAGGAATTGGTCAAAGTGAGTTGAGGGGTGAGACCCCTGGTCAATACCAAGTATCACACAACTTTAATTATTGGTAAGATAACGAGTGATTTATTTCAATACAGACATGCAATCCAACTCAGGACGTCATATCTCTTTGACAATCTATTTTAGGGAATCTGAGGTTGCATCAAGAGTTTTCTGGGGGGAATACCTATTATCGTCGTCGATAACACAATGCATGTAACCTATGACGAGCTTACGAGATTAGATCCACTTCAACCACACAGCTGTGTTATCAATGCTAGCATCTGGTACTATCTACACTGCCGATTGCGACCCCAGTAATGGCGCAATGAAACGTTAGAGTGTGGGATTTTATGCTGTTAGACGATTGGTTGCTCCGAACGTCGTACACTATCACGGCTGTGGTGCAATATCTCGCCAATTGTGCGAGCTGAGACATGGAGTTATTATGGCTGTCGTAAAGCTGCTTAATTTTGGTACTTATCTATGAGGCTCGCCGTGGACAATGAATATTCAATCACCGGAGACTCATAATCAAGATGTTGGAGACCAAGGATTCAGAAATTGTGGTAAACCGTCATACTGGAGAGGCGGAAATCAGGGAACTTGGAGCGCTGGAATTCGTTCACGAATACGGAAATAATGGATCGAAACCATCGTATCAAGAAGTTTCAGGAGCACCAGTCGAAAATGAATCGCCCCTTGGTTTGCAAGTTACGTGGTTCACTACAATCTTTTTGAACATTGGTATTGTTCACCCCATTCACGATTCAAAAAAAAAATACTAATTAGCTACAGGCCAAATGATTGGCACGGGTGTCTTTTCGACTCGTATGTTTTAACACCTATCACATGTAACCCAGGCTAACGATTTCCAGCTGCAAGTATCTTGTCAGGAGTAGGTTCAGTCGGTCTAGCTATGATCTATTGGACACTCGGTCTACTCATCTCTGGTTGCCAATTTTCAATCTATACCGAACTTGCCAGTTTCTTTCCGAATAGATCTGGAGCTGAAGTAGTGTATCTGGAACAAGCGTATCCGAGACCAAAGTATCTTCTTCCGACCACATTCGCTGTGCAATCGGTCTTACTTTCTTTCAGTAGTAGTAATGCTATTGGTAAGTAGCTTCTCCACCCCACACTTAGCATCAATGAAAACTGATAAGATGATTAGTCATGGGTAATTATCTGTTTGCTATGGCTGGTTACGCACCCTCAGCTTGGGAGCAGAAGGGACTGGCAGTTGCTTGCATAACTTTCATTACCCTCCGTTAGTATCATTCCCCTCATCAGATTAAAAGTGGCTGACGTAGCGTCAAAGTGGTGATCTTTAGCACTAAACATTCTCTGCGAATATCAAACGTGATCGGAGTGATCAAGCTCATAACGCTCATATTGTAAGTCGAGATATTCATTTTGCTTCTTCCATTTCAACTGACATATTCCTTTAGCATCTCAATCGCGGGTTTCGTGGTACTAGGTGGCCACACCAATGTTGCAGATCCCACAGAGAACTTCAAAAACGCCTTTTCCGGTACGACAAATAGTGGTTATGGACTTGCAAATGCACTGGTCAAAATAAACTTTGCCTACTCTGGGTATGCAAATGCATTCAATGTCATTGCAGAAGTGAAAGTCAGATTTTAATATTCCGCAACAGATTTGAGAAAATGCTGATATCTTCAAGGACCCAATTAGAACCATAAAACGTACCGGACCCGCTTCGCTTCTCGTTGTGGCTATTCTCTATATTCTTTGCAATATCGCTTATTTTGCAGCTAGTATTTAACCCCTCCAATCACCTCTAGATCCCTACTAATACACCCTCTAGTCCCTAAAGAAACCCTCAAAGAATCAAGTCAACTCGCCGCCTCTCTTTTCTTCACCGCAGTATTTGGTGCCGGTAAATCTGTTCGCGCGCTCAATTTCCTCATCGCTCTGTCGGCATTTGGAAACATTGTCTCAGTCACCATAGGTTCATCTCGCATCATCAGAGAATGCGGGCGCCAAGGTGTACTTCCCTATCCTCGTATGTGGGCTTCCACTCGACCTTTCGGAACTCCTCTTGCTGCTTATGTTCTAAAATGGGGTTTGACTATTCTCATGATTTTGGCCCCACCTTCAGGTGATGCTTTCAATTTTATCGTGGATTTGTATAGTTATCCGAGTAATCTGTTTTTATTCGCATTGACTGCGGGATTACTTATTATTAGGAGGAACAGAAAGAAACTAGGTATCGTGGACGAAGACTTTAAAACTTGGGATGTAGCGATTTATTTCTCATTGGCGGTTAATATTTTCTTACTGGTTATGCCGTGGTATCCCCCTCCAGGAGGAGCTAATGGTGGCGATGTGAGCTTTTGGTATGGTACTTATTGTGCTGTTGGCTTGGGTATCATGGGTGTGTGTATCCTCTACTACATATTCTGGATCTACATCCTGCCATACTTTGGTAAATACCAGATCCGGCAAGAATTGATAGTTATGGATGGTGAAAGTTCAAAAGCTCATCGGCTGATCAAAGTACCAAATGCTGAGCTGGAAGCTTGGGACAGAGAACATGATGCTCTGGGGAGGAAAATTGATTCAAGTACGCCATCGGAGGATGGTGGGGCTGAGCAGGTGTTGGGAAAAGAGTGAAACATTTAAGGGCAACTGAAAGAGTTTGGAATGCGGGGATGCAGCCATGACATGCAGAGCCATGAGACTGGAACGGTAGTTTTCATTAAGTCTTCGGTAATTAACCGAGGCTTAGGAAAGGACAAGCCGCGCCTGTCTCGGTCTCCTGGCCAGGTTATTCAAAGCATCTTTTAAAACATGAGGCTTATTATTAGGGCTTTAGCCACCGTCTAGTTGCGTAAATTTTACTGTCAATTGAACGTATTCATAATGGTAGCCAAAAAAAAACATTTGCAATGATTTTCTCAAAGTCGAGCATGGATCACTTTGGAGGAAATAATGGGTTGCTGGCCTAACAAAAGCATCTTGACTTCATAAAATGCTATTATATCTCCAAATGCCACTTTCTTTAAGCTAAATCTCAAACTCAACGGCGAAAACGTTGACACTGCCAATAGCTCATGTCATTTATTCTGCTCAAAGAATCATTCGTTGCAGCAATGCTATCCACAATAATTTACAACACGGCCTATCGATGGTTTGCGAAAATCGTCCATCATTTCCCTTGAATTCAGTGTGTTATGAAACTGGCAGCACTTTCAAGGATGTACTTTCCACCTAGTACTCAATGAGATCGAATCTGGAGGAACAGTGTCCTGAATAAATGTCGAGAAAGAGCTGAACTCGGCTGGGTTCTTGATTCTAATCTCAAAGCGCCGTCTGCGCTGAGTGCTCTGTCGTCACTATAATTTCGCTCAAGATATCAGTAAGAGAATCCCAGATTGTTTGTCGGGGCAGCCAATTCGGCCCATGCCAAAGCGAAAGGTGAAGAGCTTGGTTAGGTCTTATATAAAGCATCCAACTAGAGCTTAGAGCCTTTGAAAAATCTGTCGAGATCATTGAAGCAGGGTTAGTGAAGAATCTATTATGCGATTTAGGTATTTTAGCGAACGGTATCGATGCAATGAGAACCTATCCATATCAATAGGGACGAACAGCTACTAGCGTTTAGGTACAAGAGTCATTCAGCTAGGAGTTCTATCTCAATATTTTGATATCTGAACTTATAGTCCAGGCAATTCAAGCGCTGGAGATATTACCAGCATGGCTGCAGCAGGAAGTCAATGGCTTGATAGAGCCAATGTGGCGCCTATGTTAAGCAACCTTTGTAATTTGATGTTTTGTAATACGAGATGATGAATACTAGACCCGATGATGAAATCTAAGACATTTTTGACTCGAGTAGGGCTAACATAACGGCTATCGTAAATTAAGATTGCATCGAAGTCAAAGGTGGAAATCAGAATCTACGAAATGATCGAAATATAAAGAGACGAAGAACAATTGCCTGACTTGCTCCTTAAATAGTAGCCTGCACCGAGGTTTTATAGAGTAGATTGAGAAAGAATGAGAATAAGAAGCGCAAGTCCTTCGAACGTCAGACACCGAGCCCAAAATAGCTCGAGATAACAAAAAGAACAATGGTAATCAGCCGAAAATGGTTGTAGGCAGAGATGGATAATTTAAAATGCGATAATAGATGAAATGTGCCATGAATTAGAGATATGAAGGTTATCGAATTGTAGAGATGATATGGCCACCTCACTTGTTACCTGTCACATGGAAGGCACCTATACATGCGTGTGCGCTATATTGTTTTATATTAACTATCGCATCGTCGTATTGCTATGTTTTTGGCTACTTGAAGGAACCCCTAGGTAGCGAAATGGAGATTTATTTGCATAGCTCTTCTCCGACTATGAGCGTTAATGACTCAGCGAAAATGTCCAAAGTGTCCCTCCTAGTGGTTTGGTTTCGGTTGTGAAATTTTGAGACGCCTGGATATGTGATATGACAGGCTCAGTCGACTTGGAACCATGTTTTGCAACTGCAAAAATACAGAGTATTGCCTTCTCAATCGGTCCTTGGACGTTTGCTAGCCTCATCGCC